ATCTGTACCCAGATCACGCACAATAATCTGGACAAGCCGTAAAAGCTATTTGAAACAAATCATTATTCATCTATGCATCTATAAGCATTGTGGAGAAATGTCATTTTCAAAGTTCGCAACACAAGCACTGAAATCTTGTGCTTTCAGCCAGTAGGATGCACTCCTGATCATGTGACAGCCGATCACATGATAAAGAAGCCCATCTCCGACTCCTAGCACTTAGATCCCCTTAAGGGCTCATGTACACTGCAGCTGATAAACTGATGAACTGATGTTCAGGAGCTGTTCAGTGTTTTTTTCAGCAGCCCCTGAACTCTCCCTAATGTTTTCCTATGTGCCCATGTACACATCGTCGTTTACTGTCGTTTACAGGCAGTTGAGTTTACAGTCACTTTTTTGAACGCACCAAACTTGCGTTCAGGAGTAGATTTTATCGGCGTTTCAAACACCAAACACTTGTTAACCGCGTTTAGAAGCGTTTGCGTTTAGAAGCATTTTTTAAACTGTTCCATATCCAGATGCTCTCAAGAGCCTTTTTTCATCATCAGAAAGGCATGCAAAGCGTTTTCCATGTATTCAAATGGACCCGGTACACCAGCGCAGTCAGCTCCAGGTTTTGCATGAAGGAAACAATGGGTAGAACGTGCCGCATTATGCTCATGATGGGATCCATAGTGAATACAACCAGAAAAGACAGGTCATCTCAACACATACTGCTCTCTCTGCTTCTGCTCTCTCTATTCCTCTCAAAATGTCTGAACCATTTTTTTTTTTCACTTTGGCATGGGGCTTCCCCTCAAAATCCAGACCCGAAAGCCTTGCTATGGATGGGAGGGGAGACCCAACGCCATTTTTTAAAATGATTTTTTAATTGCTGTCAATTCTTTCTTTTACATTCAGCTGTCAGCCGGGAACCCTGCTGACAGGTGAAGCATTAACATGTGGTTGTCACTACTAAAATACCTCATGACTTGATACAATAACTCATGCGGTATTTTATTAGCCTTTTTTAGCGAATTTAGTATTTTTCAGTGCATTCTGGAAGGTCTCCTGAGGTTATCTTTTAAAAACGCTTCTTAACGCAAATGCGCATAAACGCGGTATGCAAACGCTGCTAAACTGACATTTTTTTTAACCTACGTTTTCCAGCAGTCAGTCAATTTCCATCGTTCAGAAGAGTTTTCCAAACGCCCCGTGTACATGAGCCCTAAAAGGCCAACAGAAGTCAGCAGCAAAGGATTAACACTTTCACTGCTGAAGATTGAGCAAACAGTTGAGTCTGGGCACGGGTGCACATTAAGTTTCAGAAGAAAAAAAAGACAAAGCAGGAAGGATGCAAAAGAATACGTCATGCCATAGCGTGTACCATAGTGTCACCTTTGTTTTCTAAAACAAATTAATCTGAAGCAGTTAGAAAAATTAGCCAGCGCCATACCCAGCGGCAGACTGACAACTCATGGGGCCCCTGTGTCCTTGCCCAAACTCAAAAAAGCCTATGAAAAAGGTACCAGGGGCATCTCATGGGGCCCCCTACTGACCCCCGGCCCTCGGGCACTGCCCGAGTTTCCAAATGGTCAGTCCGCCCCTGGCCATACCTCCTCCCCCCCCCCCCCCCCCTGGGCATCCAACTGCCACTCTATACCCGCCGACGGCTTGTGTAACAGCTGCAGGGCTTCCAACAAAACAAACATCATGCCAGGGCAAACGCTGACACTGTTACAATGTTGTCCTGAATGGTTGTAAAATGAATCAAATCCCGATGCCGATATAAATCAAGTCTGATGCTCGGTTCACAGCTACAGGTGCGACTGAGCACGTGCGCGCATTTCCAATGCATTTTCGCACGTAGGGGCAGCCCATTCGTTTCAATGGGCTGCCCCACGTGGAAAACAAGTTGCTGACTCTTAAAAATGCTTCGCACCGAACTGCATGAGTACCATTAACCCCCGGTTCACATCTATGTGGCCGCATTTTACACGGGCACAAGAGCCCGTTCCTTTGAATGGACTCCCGTGCCCGTGACACGCAGGGAAGAAGTCCCTGCACCTCTTTGGAAAACGCAGCCCACACGGAAACCTCGGTACCCAGTACTGTTGCGTTTCCCAGTGCGGGCGGCGTGCCATTAGAATTAATGGCACCCGTCTGCGGGTCCGCATTCCTCTGTGCGGGTGGTGCAGCTGCATGAATTTTCGTGCGGATCCATAGCGGCACCACCCGCATAGATGTGAACCGAAGGTAACAATCTCCTAAACGGCAGTGGGATTCCCTGTGTGTTGGAAAGCACGGGAATTTGCCCACATTCCCGACACGCAAGAATATAATTAACACTTGTGCTGCTCAAGCATTTGCGACCCAACCGAACCTCCAGCACAGCCTCGGCTCCTTTCTCACCGACAGAAAGTATGCTACTGGCAGGATCACTAGAGGAAAAAAAAGGAATGAAGCCTAAAAAAAAGAAACTAATGCAGCCACCACATCTAAGGACTATTGAGCTGCAATATAATACATTTTTGCTCTTGGGAATAAATCCACTTTATTTGTGATAGTAGCCCCTGCACACCAGGGCTGGGACAAGGGGTGGGCAGGAGGGTCAGGCGCCCTGGGATTCAGATCAGCAACTGGCAACCAGTGGCCCAGTGGGCTTCATGTCTACACTGCCAGCTCTTGCTGCCACACTGCACTCCAACATGCCCACACCCCACCCCACCCCATCCTCCAAAATGGACATGAAAAACACAATGCGTATGCGCAACTCCCTTCTAACAAGTGATTGGCCGTGCGTGTGGAGTGCATACGCCATGCCAGCCCTAGGTAATTGAATGAAGCAGGCAAAGAATAAGTGCAGCGTGATACATCCAATCTTTGTCAAACGTTGGTAGTGGCGGGAGTATCGTATTCTTGCGCTGGACGCAGCTGTCCCAGTACCGCCCCCCACCCTTTCAAATTTTTTTTCGTTCTCTAAGATCTGGTCCCTTGGAAAGACCGGTACACATGGACTAAACGTTGTTTTTTTTGCTGTTCTACTTCTGACTACAACCACGAGCTGCAGATGGGAATAACGAGTCAAACGTTTACATGATTTGCAAAAAGAAAGTGAACGGTCTGCGAGGGGGATCGCCGCAGGGAATAACGCAGTGGGGGATGCGGTAAATCCCGCCTCCCCCTCCCGGGCTCATTTTAGGAACGTAAAACACTGAAGCACAGAACGATTCCTGGAAAAGCTATAAAATGTACACAAATATAGAGTGATGACATAAAATGGGGGGTACACACAAAACAGACACGAAACCCAGGATTACTCAGAAGGGGCCGAGGTTCAGGCGGAATTCACAGCTTGTAGAATGAGTCGGCCTCACATGTTTCACTATTACACCATTCCCAAAATGTAAATAAACTCTCGGCAGCACGTGAATAGAAGAAGGGGGATTATATGAAGTAGCCGCATTTAGCCATTTTATGATCGAAGTTCAGCTGTGTCAGTTCATTTGACAATAAATCTATAACTAACTTGCCAGTTTGAGAGAGGATCCGAGACATCACTGAGAATGCAGCCTATCCATTCACTAGAGACCGGTGACATCACTGAGAATGCAGCCTATCCATTCACTAGAGACCGGTGACATCACTGAGAATGCAGCCTATCCATTCACTAGAGACCGGTGACATCACTGAGAATGCAGCCTATCCATTCACTAGAGACCGGTGACATCACCGAGAATGCAGCCTATCCATTCACTAGAGACCGGTGACATCACCGAGAATGCAGCCTATCCAGTCACTAGAGACCAGTGACATCACTGAGAATGCAGCCTATCCATTCACTACAGACCAGTGACATCACTGAGAATGCAGCCTATCCATTCACTAGAGACCAGTGACATCACTGAGAATGCAGCCTATCCATTCACTAGAGACCAGTGAGATCACTGAGAATGCAGCCTATTCGTTCACTAGAGACCGGTGACATCACTGAGAATGCAGCCCATCCATTCACTAGAGACCGGTGACATCACTGAAAATGCAGCCCATCCAGTCACTAGAGAACAATGACATCACTGAGAATGCAGCCTATCCATTCGCTAGAGACCAGTGACATCACTGAGAATGCAGCCTATCCATTCACTAGAGACCGGTGACATCACTGAAAATGCAGCCTATCCATTCACTAGAGACCGGTGACATCACTGAGAATGCAGCCTATCCATTCACTAGAGACCGGTGACATCACTGAGAATGCAGCCTATCCATTCACTAGAGACCGGTGACATCACTGAGAATGCAGCCTATCCATTCACTAGAGACCGGTAACATCACTGAGAATGCAGCCTATCCATTCACTAGAGACCGGTGACACCACTGAGAATGCAGCCTATCCATTCACTAGAGACCGGTAACACCACTGAGAATGCAGCCTATCCATTCACTAGAGACCGGTAACATCACTGAGAATGCAGCCTATCCATTCACTAGAGACCGGTGACATCACTGAGAATGCAGCCTATCCATTCACTAGAGACCGGTAACACCACTGAGAATGCAGCCTATCCATTCACTAGAGACCAGTGACATCACTGAGAATGCAGCCTATCCATTCACATGCACACCAGACGTTTTTACAGCGGCTGTTTTTGGCTTTTGACTTTTTTCTACAGCCAGTAAACCCCCAGCATGTTCTCCTAGGTGTCCATACACACAGACTGTAATCAGCGTTTTTTGGCTGGAAAAAAAAAAAAACAGAACTAGTGCGTTTCTAGAGGAGTTTTTTAGCTGTAAAAACACTGAAAAATGCAGCAAAACAGCAAAATTGTAAAACTTCACATTGATGTCCGTGGGGATGCAAGTTGGCGTTTTTGGACTTTTTTTGCCCCCCCCCCCCCCCAAATTTTTTTCTTTGGTTAAAAAACGCTAAAAACTGCAAATGTGGCAAATCGCTGTTAAACGCGGCAAAACGCTAGTGCAAAAACGGCTAAAAAAAAAGCTGAAAAACTCACGTTTTTAACCACTTCAAGTCTGGACACTTTCCCCCCCCTTCCTGCCCAGGCCAATTTTCAGCTTTCAGCGCTATCACACTTTGAATGACAATTTGCGCGGTCATGCAACACTGTACCCAAATGAATTTTTTAGCATTTTTTTGAGACAGATAAAGCTTTATTTTGGTGGTATTTATTCATCACTGGGATTTTTATTTTTTTTGCGATGTAAATGAAAAAGTCCAAAAATTTTGAAAAAAGGTGTTTTTCTCTATAAAATTTTGCAAATAAATAATATTTCATCATAAATCTTGGCCAAAATGTATTCTGTTATCTTTTTAGTAAAAAAAAAAAAAAATAACCCAAATTAGTTTATAACCAAAATATGTGATTAACATTTTTATTTTATTTTTTTATATTATTATTTATGGGGTTTTTTTTACATACTGTCACCCTAGCAGTACAGTGTCACCATGGTGACACTATACTACTTGTGGGGGGTGATGAAGATTTTTTTTTTTTTTTACACCGATTGCTTTTACACCCATAAAGGCTGTAAACACAATAATTTCTCCTCTCTGGCTGCATTCTTGCAGCCATTGAGAACTACTGTGTGAGGTGTGATTGGTCACAGCTCGTCACATGGTACAAGGCTGTTGTAAATAGCCCTGTACCATGTGATCTCTGTGATCATTCACAGATTTCACACGTAGTAAGCAATGATGTCAGAAGGGACATCTTGCTTACTACTCTGCATGTGATCACTGATTAGCCAGTCAGTGATCACATGATCGGGACCACGCACAGAGGTCCCTTACGACAATCGGTGTTCGGACACAGCGGGCACCGGATCGCGGTGCTGTGCACTCCCAGGGAGCGTGCACAAGCAGGGGGCGGGGAGGCCGTTTATAAATGGCCACCCGACCCTGCACTGCCACCGTCCGGCCGTTTATATACAACATCCGGATGGGAGGTGATTAACGTGACTTTACACAGCTAACGTTACCAGCGTTATCAAAACGCCCCGTGTGCATGAGGAGTAATGGCATCACCCAGAAAAATGCAGCTCTGCCATCCAAAGAAAACTCCACCAAGGTTAAGGTAAAAACAAACAGTTCAGCTCCCATGATGCATCACTGTTCTAGCTTGCAAAAATCGTAATTCCACAATAACTGCCTCTAGATTCAATACTGAATTTGGGATCGCTCACCGAAACATTTATCGAATGCACCAGCAGCCGCATTCAATTAAAAAAAAAAATTAGAATCTGTACCATGTGACCGCTAACAAAAATATCTGCTGACTACCAAACTCAAACTCAGAACAAGGGGGCAGATCAGGAGCCGACTTCACTTGCTGCATGCTTGCTCTAGGTTACTGATATAGAAGGTATTAGAGCCGGAGATGGCGGAAATGGCCGATATGTATGCTAGACACATACACAAGATTTTTCCAGGTATGAATTTTAGGCCTTGTTCATACCATGTTGCGATTGATGCGTTGTGTTTTTGAACATGCATTTTAGACGCGGTTTGCTTTTTCTTTGTGTGTTTATGTACAGATAGCTGCGGTCCATCGCTCCTGGAAGCTGTCAACTTGAATTTTTCCTAAACGCATAAAACCGTATGTTATGAAAACATTGCTAAACGCAGTGTATGAATGGAGCCATAGGGATGCATTGTCTGCATTTAGCTGCCGTAAGTAATGCAGGCCATAGACGGGTCGAAAACCGGCTGTTTTTTAAAAAAAAACAAAAACACGGAAAATCAGTTGTTTGATCGGCCGACGTTACCACCAACTGTAAAAAAAAAAAAAAAAAAAAAAAAAAAAAAAAAGAATCGGCCGATTTTTGTCCCATCTACGGCCGGCATTTAACCCCATAATTACTTCTGTCCCTTGCAGAGAGCTCCGCTATTATATTTTACATGAAAGTCTTCCGGTTGCAACAATGTATCCATTTCGGATACAGATGTTTTCATTCAGATACAAATAGATACATTGTTGCAACCGCAATACTTTTTCATATAAAATATAATAGCGGACTGGAATTCTTATTCTTCCTTTTCTTCTTCTTACAGGTCACGGCTCATGCGCAGATTTTTTTATCGGTAAAACGATCGGCCAATTTGCCCATCATTGTCGGGAAAATCGGCCGATTTCCAACATGACCGATAAAAAAATTGTGCCAAAACCCCAAAAAACGACCGACCAATTAACCCACTAATGGTGCGAAAATTGGCCGATTTTTTTTTTTTTTTCAGCTAAAAAATTGGCCTGCATTACCTGAGCCCAGTCTCGATCCAGTCGCTCTCTCTTTGCTGGATGTGGTGCCGCTCTCTATCATAGCTTGTGAGGAGGGGGTGGGACTGACCTGCGAAACCCCGAAAAACGGCTGACCAATTAACCCACTAACGGTGCGAAAATCGGCCCATTTTTTTCAGCTGAAAAATCGGCCGATTTTCGAACCTGTCTATGGCCTGCATAAGTTCCTCTAACCGCAGCTTAAAGCTGAAATCTAACCGCCCGTGTGAAAGGGGCCTAAAGCTGTTCAATGATTAGCGCCCTCTTGTAGCGCTTTGTGGTGTGTTCCACTTTTCAGCCAATGGCTGGTCCATCAGACTATATTTCCGTGGGGCAGAAACTGATGTGAAATGCGCCAAAAAAAAAGACAAGCATCCCATCATTAACGAACTACGTGATAAATGTCAGGTGCGGCTTTGTTTGATAACTGCGGTAGGATTTTAATAGCTAGATCCACTTTCTAAAAATGTCCTTAATTAGATTTAAGACTGGAAATGTCTCCAAACCAGAACAATCTGTGAAAACGTAAAACAAAACAACATCCTGAATATACCGTAAGAAACCAAAAGCAAGACAAAGAAAACAATGCGAAATTTCCCCAAAGATCGCTTCCACTGGAATTCTTCAGAATAATACATTGGTAAGCCCGGTATTCCCCCAATTCTGTAAATGTTTACAGTTCCTGAGAATGTTGCAATCCACCAACTTCTCCTGCTGCTTACACAATGAGGCGGGCTGGTGTGTACCGACCACGAACCTACCGCAGCCGGGCACAACGGATCTTTCAGGATTCTGAACTTTCCACCCCAGTACAGACCTATAGGGCTCATGTACACGGGACTTTGGAAAACTCTTCTGAACGATGGAAACTAACTGCTGGAAAACTTAAAAAATGTCAGTTTAGCCGCGTTTGCATACCGCACTTATGTGCGTTTAGAAGCGTTTTTAAAAGATAACCTCAGGAGACCTTTCAAAATGCCCAGAATGCACTGAAAAACAGTAAACAATTAACTATTTCAGACATTTTGAGAGAAATAGAGAGCAGAAGCAGAGAGAGCAGTATGTGTGGAGATGACCTGTCTTTTCTGGTTGTATTCACTATGGATCCCATCATGAGCATAATGCGGCGTGTTCTACCATTTATTCCTTCATGCGAAACCTGGAACTGACTGCGCTGGTGTACCGGGACCATTTGAATACATGGAAAATGCTTTGCATGCATTCCTGATGATGAAAAAAGGCTCTGGACAGCATCTGGACACGGAACAGTTAAAAAACGCTTCTAAGTGCAAATGCTTATAAACGCGGTTAACCGCATTTACAATAGTTTTAAACGCCGGTAAAATCTACTCCTAAACGCAAGTTTGGTGCGTTCAAAAAAGCGAAGGCAAACTCAACTGGCTGTAAACGATGATGTGTACATGGACACATAGGAAAACATTAGGGAGAGTTCAGGGGCTGAAAAAGATGCAGAACAGCTCCTAAACGTGAGTTTATCAGCTGCAGTGTACAGGAGCCCATAGAGAGAAGCCCAGCAGTATTAGGGCTCATGTACACTGCAGCTGATAAACTGACGTTCAGGAGCTGTTCTGCGTCTTTTTCAGCAGCCCGTGAACTCTCCCTAATGTTTTCCTATGTGTCCATGTACACATCGTCATTTACAGGCAGTTGACTTTACAGTCGCTTTTTTGAATACAACAAACTTGCGTTCGGGAGTAGATTTTACCTGCGTTTTCAAACGCCAAACACTTGTAAATGCAGTTAACTGCGTTTAGAAGCGTTTGCATATAGAAGCGTTTTTTTAACTGTTCCATGTCCAGATGCTGTCCAGAGCCTGTTTTTCCATGTATTCAAATGGACCCGGTACACCAGCGCAGTCAGTTCCAGGTTTTGCGTGAAGGAAAAAATGGTAGAACGCACCGCATTATGCTCATGATGGGATCCATAGTGAATACAACCAGAAAAGACAGGTCATCTCCACACATACTGCTCTCTCTGCTTCTGCTCTATTTATTTATTGATTACAGGTACTTATATAGCGCCGTCAATTTACGCAGCACTTTACATATATATTGTAGATTCACATCAGTCCCTAACCCTCAAGGGGGGTACAATCTAAGGTCCCTAACTCACATTCATACATACACATACTAGGGCCAATTTAGACAGGATCCAATTCACCTACCAGCATGTCTTTGGAGTGTGGGAGGTAACTGGAGTACCCAGAGGAAAACCACAGAGGCACAGGGAGAACATGCAAACTCCAGGCAGGTGGTGCCGTGGTTGGGATTCTAACCAACAACCCCAGTACTGCCAGGCAAAAGTGTTAACCATTTAGCCACTGTCAATTTTTCTCAAAACGTCTGAAATAGTAAATTTTTTACTGTTTTTCAGTGCATTCTGGGCATTTGAGGTTATCTTTTAAAAACGCTTCTAAGCGCAAACGCACATAAACACAATATGCTAAACTAAAGTTTTTTAAACCTACATTTTCCAGCAGTCAGCTTCCATTGTTCAGAAGAGTTTTCCGTGTACATGAGCCCTTAGAGTGCAACTATGATCAACTGAAAGCAGCCCATAGACAAACGCAGGCACCCGGTAAATCAGTATAAATTATTATCCTTTATTACAAAATAGTGAAGTACAGCCATTGCGTTTTGGCCGTTAGCCATAATTAAGGCCGATCGGCTAAATCGCGATGGGTATTTACTCAGCTGTACGGCGCTATTTTGTAATAAAGGATAACCATTTGGCGGATTTCCCAGGGTTCCGGCTTTTTTCTATGGACTGTATAGTGTTGGAGGTCATCAGAAAGTGCCCAGGCTGAGAGCCCGGTACCTGGAGCTTTGGATCGCGGTGGCGTTTGCAGCGTTGTATCCCGTTTCAATAACTGAAAGCACACACAAGGCATATCATACCTTTCCTGTACTGTCTGGAGTAGCCATCCCAAACCAGGGTTGTGTGGAACCCAGGGCTTCCTCCAGATGTTGCTAGGGGGGTTCCTTGAGCTGATTGATTTACCATCTGCCGGTGTCTGCATAGTTCCAGGGCCAACTCCAATTGGTAGAGCCAAGTTTTTTTTTTTTTAAGTGGTCTATGAGCCCTGGTTCACACTGATGCGGTGCAGAATTCGCTGAGTTTTCACTGCGAATTCCAC